TATGCCATGCACATGTATCTGAGTGTGTGTACTCGTGTGAGCTGTTTGCACACTCACAGTGCTATGCCATGCACATGTATCTGAGTGTGTGTACTCATGTGAGCTGTTTGCACACTCACATGTGCGATGCCATGCACATGCATCTGAGTGTGTGTATTCGTGTGAGCTGTTTGCACACTCACACGTGCGATGCCATGCACATGTATCTGAGTGTATGTGCACTCATGCGAGCTGTTTACACACTCACACGTGCGATGCCATGCACATGTATCTGAGTGTATGTGCACTAGTGTGAGCTGTTTGCACACTCACACGTGCGATGCCATGCACATGTATCTGAGTGTATGTGCACTCGTGTGAACTGTTTGCACTCACATGTGCGATGCCATGCACATGTATCTGAGTGTGTGTACTCGTGTGAGCTGTTTACACACTCACACATGCGATGCCGTGCACATGTATCTGAGTGTATGTGCACTAGTGCAAGCTGTTTGCACACTCACATGTGTGATGCCATGCACATGTATCTGAGTGTGTGTACTCATGTGAGCTGTTTGCACACTCACATGTGCAATGCCATGCACACGTATCTGAGTGTGTGTACTCGTGTGAGCTGTGTTTGCACACTCACACGTGCGATGCCATGCACATGTATCTGAGTGTGTGTACTCGTGTGAGCTGTTTGCACTCACAGTGCGATGCCATGCACGTGTATCTGAGTGTGTGTATTCTTGTGAGCTGTTTGCACACAGTGCGATGCCATGCACATGTATCTGAGTGTGTGTACTCGTGTGAGCTGTTTGCACACTCACAGTGCAAGGCCATGCACATGTATCTGAGTGTCTGTGCACTCATGTGAGCTGTTTGCACACTCACACGTGCGATGCCATGCGTACATGCATCCGAATGTGCACATACATGTGAGCTGTGAGTGCACATACCCATGTGTGCTGTGCATATTCTTCCAGTGTTTGCCTTGTCTGGGTTTGAAGGGCCAGGTTTGCTTGTCTGGGAGGATTTGCAGAGAAACCTAACAGTCCAATGCGCTATCACAAAGCAAACCCCAATGACCAGCACCCAAGTCCTGACTCCCCAGAACCTCCCTCCAGCCCAGCCCATCAGCAGCCCTGTCCCCACAAAGGTCACTGATGCCCTGCCTCTTGAGGTGATCGCCTCCTTCCCTGGCATATTCGGGCAGACACAGGAGGTCGAGAAGGTATCTGAGCTGAGGTGTCAGAGCCTGTCACTTTCAAGGTAGGAACAGTTGTCAAAGGAGAATGGCGGGTTAGGGAGTGTTTTGCAGAGGGCCAACTTGTGACCTCTCCTCTGGAACCCAGGAGGCAGAGGGAACTCTCTGGGGACAGAAAGGTGAGTGCGGATTGTGGCCACTGATGAAACATCAGAGGAGAGGACAGCTCTCAGCTGGTGAGAGGTGAGATAAGGGATCGTCTCCTCTCAGGAGCCATGGAGGGCGGCCCCAGAGCCCAGGGAGTAGGAGTCCCTTCTGAGGGAGTGGGACAGAGGCAGGGACCGGCAAGGTGGGGAGGAGAGGGAATTTCCCCTTGGAGGCCCTCCTGCTTGGGTGTCCCTGGAGCCTAGAGGGGTCCAGGGAGAGGGTTCCGTGGTGGCTGTGTGGGTGCAGGGCAGCACACAGCCTGCTCCTTTGCGGGGGATTTCTGCAGAGTGAAGATTGCCCCTCCACTTTCAGAGAGGGTGCTGGGCCTTAGAGAGTCATAGCTCTGAGGAGAGGGGGGCCCTTTCCTCCCACCGCCACCTCTTCTCCCTGCACCTTCCCATCCCTGGCATCCTGGCATTCCTGGATACTGGATTTTGGGGTTTGCTTGGGGTGACATGGCAGCCTGGGCCCCAGGGTCACAGAGCTGAGATGAACTTTCCAGCCGACGGTTCCCATTTGAACTAAGACTCATTCACTGAGCACCTGCTCTGCTCTTGGCTCTGGGGTTGGCTCTGGGGACATGGCTGGGCTTTAAGCCAAGTTCCTGAGCTCCTGGAGCCAATGTTTCTATGAGGTGGGGAGCAGGAGCGGTCAACATCCAGAGGAACAAGGAAATAACCAGAAACCGGAGACCACAGGGCTCTAAAGGGTCCCTGGGCCCTCAGCGTGGGCAGGGTGGGGCTTCCTGGAGGGGGTGAATTTGGAGGCCAGCTTGAAGAGCCGGGGCATTTCCTGCAGCTGCTGTAACAGATGATCATGAACCTCACAACCAGCACAGCACGGACTTCTCTCTCAGTGCTGGAAGCCAGTGTCTACAGTCAGTCTGTCTGGGCTCAAGTCAAAAAGCCAGCGGGCCGGCTCCTTCTGGGGGCTCTGAAGGGACCATTTCCTTGCCTTTCCAGCTTCTGGAAGTCCTCTGCATTCTCCGCTCCTCCCCGCAGCGCCCCACCTCTTGCTCCATCGTCCCATTCTCTACCTTCTTTCTGCTGACCCTGTCTGGGTCCCCCTTATAAGGACCCTTGTGTCACGTCAAGCTCACCCTACCATCAGGATCCTGTCCCCACTTTGGGGTCTGTGCCTAGATCACATGTGTTAAGTCCTTTTCGCCGTATGAGATATTCTGGGGCTCCGAGGTTCCCACGTGGATGCCTTTGGGGGTCATTCTTCAGCCCATCAGAAAGGGAATGGCCGGTAGGAATGCAGCAGGCGTGGGTGACAGCCCGGACACTCCTCTGCTCCTTCAGCCCTGACCCAATTCTGACATTTCCACCTGCGCTCATCTGTTCTGAGCCCACTCGCCAGAGGGAGCAGGCGGGGTCTCTGGAAGGAAGATGCATGACCCACGGGTCAGCTGTGGGAGGCAGGGGCTGCCCTCCTGGAGGCGCTGGCTGGGCCCCGGGCCAGAGCAGCAGAGGGTCTGTCTCTCAGCAGCTGCACCACAGCTGCCTGCAGGGACAGATGGGAGCCCGGTGCTGGTCACTTGGAGGCCACTGTGACCTGGTCCTTGCCCTCTCCGGGCTTCGGTTTCTGCTTCTGTCGCGTGAAATATTGGGACATGGAGAGCTGTGCTGGTGGGATTCCAGGTGTTCACTGAGGACCCAGCCTGGGGCAGGGCACTCCTCCCGGTGGGCGCTGGCCTGCGAGCATCCTGTTTACATCTTCACGGGACGCGCGGAGGGGTGGGCGACGGCCCAGCAGCTGGGGCTGCACAGGAGCCCGAGGGTTGCATAATGGCGGGGCCGCAGCTGCCGGGCTCTGCAAAGGTTGTTTTTCACCGAAGGCAGCTGCGGGGGGCCGCCAGGGAGGTGGCTCCGCCCAGAGGGAGCGGTCAGGTCTCGGAGGCTGGGAGGACAGAGGTCTCAACCCCTGCTATGACAGGGACAGCTGGGGTGGGCGAGAGGGTGACCCCCATCAGAGGAGGGCTGCCAGAGTGCCACTGTCCCTCTTCCTCAGGAGGTGGCAGCCACAGGCCTCCTGGATGCCGATACCCAGAGCTGAAGGCCCCCACAGAGGTCAGCATGAGGGCGTCAGAACTGGGCCCACAGCCTGGGCCGGCTCACTCCCAAGCTCCGAGAGCTCATCCCACCTCCCCGCTTTACAGATGGGCATCCGGAGGCCACGGGCATTTGGCGCCAGGGGCAGGGAGCAGGAGGTGGTGGGAAGCAATGTCTCGGGGGCACTTTTGGGGCTGGAGCATGAGCAGGACCCTTCTCGCGGTGTTTAATCCAGTGCTCAGCCAGCTCATCTCCTTCAATGGAACCCACAGTGTTAAGAAAACATGATCTCCATTTGACAGGTGGAGAAACCGAGGCTCAGAGGGTCATCTGAGCTCAGCCTCCTGACCTCACAGTCCTGCTGTGCCTCTCAGGCCCCCACATAGGATCTGGGGGCTGGACGGGAGGCCTCCGAAGCCAGGCTTCAAGGTAACTGTGACCCAGACCGAGCCAGGAGAGCGCAGTCCACCTGAGAGTGCGCTGGTGGGTTGAGATTTGTGGCATTTGTGTGCAGATGCAGGGGTGGAGAAGGTGGTCTGCGCTGAGGTGTCAGGGCTTGTCCCCTACAAGGTGGGAACAGTTGTCAGGGGAGAAGTGGCTTCATGTGGTGGGCATTGATGCAGGGACAGTGTGAACAGGCAGAATCCCTACACCCAGTTCCCCTGAGCCCCCAGAACCCCAGAAATCACTAGTGACCCTTCAGGTTTAGGAGAGTCGTGGGAATGGGACCGTGGCTTCCCTGGTGACCCTCAATGCTTCCTTAAGTGCTCACTTCTCTGATAAGCGGTAAGGTCACGGCTCTCCAAGCCCTCTTCCGGACCCCAGCCCCCCACCACCCCATAGGCCACTGTGTGCGTGGAGAGCCCGGGCCATAGGCCGGAGTGACAGCAGGGACTGGAGGCTGGACATGGCTGCCTGAGGCTGGCAGGTGGATGGAAGCTTAGACAGGGTCAGAGTGGCTTGGGGCTTGGCGGGGGTGGCCTACTCTGGGTGGAGCAGAGGGTGGGGGCAGGTTCACGACTCCCAGTGCTCTGCTTCCAGCCACTGAGGGCTGTGTCCCTGGACCTCCTGCTCATTGAAATCACTCTCTGCCTCAGTTTCCCCATCGCAGGGAGGGTGAAATAGCACAAGGAAAGACTTTGTCATGTGACTGGACACACACAGTGGGGCTTAGTGGGAACTCCCCGTAAGCCAGGTGGCTTCCCAACGCTGCACCTGCCACCTTGGCATCTGGGGGCAACCAGGAGGTCAGCAGAGCCAGCCTTCCTGCTGTACAGAGGCAGAGGCCGGGGATGGAGGGGACATCTCTTGCCCAAGACCATGGAGCTGGAAGTAAGAGGTGGAGCCTGGGCTTGCCCCGGCTGCTGGACTCGGAGCCAGCCCGCTGCAGCGCCACACGACCCCGAGACCTGGTGTGCCCCAATGCGCAGCTGTCGTGGAAACCCTCGAAAGGCACGGGTCTTTGCAGGGATGCCCAGTCATGTGTTAGATGTATCCCCAGGAGGGACCCTGGCCAGCGGTGGGGAGGCTGCCCCAGTGCCCCTGCCGGCTGAGAACCATGTGCTTGTAAACTTTATTTTCCATACAGTAGAGAAACATACAGTACAAGCAACACTGGGAGTCGAGTTTACAGCAAAGCTCACACATGCCCCTTGGACACACACGTTCCCTGGAGGAGCGGGTGATGCCCAGGAGCCCGCTTGCCTCCAGACGGCACTTCCATGCGAGCAGCTGTTGCAACCCAGAGCCGTGTGGGAAGGGGAAGTCGGCTCAGTCCTCACATCCCACAGGTCCGAGTCTACTGTCCTCTGCAGGGTGCCCTGTGGCCGCCTTGGGGAGGAGAAGCTTCCCGAGGCAGCAGCTGCCTTCCACATGCTCCCTGTGGCCTTCTGCCCGCCTGGGGAGGGAAACCTCATGGCAGGGCGGGGCTCAGCTCCGCAGCCAGGGGACAGTCACTCAGCGCCTGCTCCAGCGCCTAACCCAAGGGGGTCAGTCGTGGCCTGCTCTCCAGGGACCCCAGGCTGGCAGGCAGCAGCCCCAGCCCTACAGCTTGGTAAGTCCTGGGGCACAAGGAAGCCAGGGTCTCAGGTCAGGTGAGCGTCCGTCAGCGGGGAAGAGGCTTGGCAGCCCGGACCTGCAGCAGGAGGTGGGGAAGCAGAGGGTCCTGCAGATGGGTGTCCACAGGCGCAGAGGCGGGAGGCTGGGAGGGGAGGGGACCTCTGGAGAAGGCCGTTCTGTGAATATCCCGAGAACCTGGAAGTGTCTTTCAGGAGCATCTGTTACGAGGGGACGTTGGGCGTCCCTCCCTGGCACTGGGATGTGGATCCCACACTCCCCAGGCGGCAGTTCGGGCCCCTGGCCAAGCCCAGCCGCGGCTCTGCCCCGGACAGCCCGGAGGAGGCAGCTGCCCTGCTGAGGACCGACAGTGGTCCTTCGTCCTGACCTCGGAGCGGTGTGCCCCGCTGTCCGCAGGCTCTGGTGCCCGGCACTGGAGGGACGCGGCCCTCACGTGACCACCTCGGGAGCGGTGTCCCCCCCTGTCTGCAGGCTCTGGTGCCCGGCACTGGAGGAACGTGGCCCTCACATGACCACCTCGGGAGCGATGCTGAAGAGAAGGTCGTCGTTGCCCCGCCGGACCTCCAGCAGGAGAGGAGATTCGTTCAGGATGGCCTCCTGAAGCTCACTCGAGTCTACCAGAGGACGCCCGTTGACCTTGACGATGATGTCACCATCTTGGATGCCACCTCTGCCAACAGGAGAGACGGGGTCACCACGCACAGCCTCCCCAGGCATGGCCTCCCCAGTCCTGGCCTCCCCAGGCCCAGCCTCCCCAGTCACAGCCTCCCCAGGCCCGGCCTCCCGAGTCACAGGCTCTCCAGTTACAGCCTCTCCAGGCACAGCCTCCCCAGTCCTGGCCTCCCCAATCACGGCCTCCACGGGCACAGCCTCCCCAGGTCCAGCCCAGGGCGACACACAGTCAGGGTCAATGACATTTCCATGAAAGTCATTTCTGTGGGAAGGAACAGTGCCCTGGCCTCAAGGCTCTCACTCCAGAAGAAAACCAATGTCACACTGCAGGCAAACGACCTTTCAAACCCCTTCTCCCAAGCATCCGAAGGGTGGGTTCCAGCTCTGCTTCAGGCTTCCTAGCTGGGCCAGGCGTTCTGTCCCTTTGAGCCTCAGTTTTCACGTCTACAGTCCTATGTGCAGACGTGCTTTGCAAATTGCAAAGGCCCCAGAGTAGATTCTGCTGTTACTGCAGTGACGAAGACTTCTGCTGTGAGAGGCAGAGCTCGCGGGGCCGGCCGCCCCTCTGCATGAGCCTTGCAGAGACCTCCCCACTGCCGGGAAGGAAGGCGATGGGATGGTGCTCAGCTGCGTGGGCACCAGCATCAGGACCCACACATGCTGGCTGCGTGACCCAGAAGAGTAACTTCTCTAAGCCTCAGTCCCCCCATCTGTAAAATGGGTGAGCAGGAGCCTGCACCTCCCTGGCTGCAGTGAGGATGAAGTGAGATGACATGTGTGGAACATCTCATACCATTTCAACCACTTCTACTGCAGGCCTGCTACGGGCAGGGCACGTGTGCCATCTGTGCTCATGGCAGAAGGTCATGTGGGGCCTCCCACCTTGAAGCCCAGCCTCTCCGGACGCACAGCACAGCTGGCCCTTGAACCACACGGGTTTGAACTGCATGGGTCCACTTATTTGTGGATTTTTCCCACTGCAGATGAAGACCTAGGCCGAGGAGGGAGGCGACTGGCTTGGAGCCCTTCGTGGGGACGGGTCAGCTACGCCAGCATGTGGTCATGTTGCTGCATGCCTGCCTCAGCCTATGGTGTTGCCAGGCTTAACATTTCTCTAGTGCTGGAAGACTTCAAAGAAAACGATGCTTTATCTATTTAACCTTGACAAAGTCCCCCCAGGGGTAAAAATCCCAGCACTGTGGTAGGCCAAGGCAGGCAGATCACCTGAGGTCAGGAGTTCAAGACCAGCATGGCCAATGTGGTGAAACCCTGTTTCTAATTAAAAAAAAAAAAAAAATAGGTGTGGTGGTGCGCCTGTAATCCCAGATACTCAGTAGGCTGAGGCAGGATAATCACCTGAATCCAGGAGGCGGAGGCTGCAGTGAACTGAGATCGCATCACTGCGTTCCAACCTGGGCAACAGAGTGAGGCTCTGTCTCAAAAAAAAAAAAAAAAAAAAAAGAATAGGCTGAATTATCTCCATTTTACAACGAGGAAGCTGAGTCCCAGAGAGACCCAGGCTGGCCCCCAGCTGGTGAGAGTCTGGCTTGGAGCAGGTTCTTAGCCCGACAGGGACTCTTTAGCCTCTGCTTCTTGAAGGGAATGACATTCTGGACCTTGGACAGACACAGTCAGGGCTCTAGGGACCGTTCAGGTCTCCAGCCTCTCCTGTCTTAGCGGACATGCTAGAATCCACCTGCCCCTTCCTCATCACTTTGCTGGGAAGCTCAAGGTCACATGAGGTCAGTGGGGCAGCCACAGCCCAAGACCCAGACGCCCCCCCATGCCTCCATCGGTCTCGGTCTCCCTGTCTCCTCTTGCAGACCCTACCTCTGAGAAGGTGAATTTGGCGCGACCTCTTGCACGTAAATTCCACGGCTGACCCCTGGGAAGTCCGGGTTGCTGGCCTTCAGCTCATCCACCAGGCTGGAAAGAGTTCACTGTCAAGTCCCATCCTCGGAGCCTTTGCCCAGCTCCTTGGTATGAAGCTGCCCCTCCCGCCCTCCAGCACCAGGCCAGAAAAGGAGGCTCCTCTGGGCCCCACACTGTCTTGTCCCACCACTGGCCACTCTGTGTCCCCTACCAGACATGCTTCTCAAGAGAAAAGTGGTAGCAATGACTGGTTAGAAGTGTGAAGAGAGGAGAGAGAGTGGGTGGGCAGGTGGGAGGAGGGGCAGGAGGATAGATGGATGGATGGATGGATGGATGGATGGATGGAAGAAGGAATGATACTCAATGGGTAAATAGAAGGAGAAACGGACAGAAGGCAATGCTGAGTCATGGAACAGACAGACAATGCTGAGTCATGGAACGGACAGACAATGCTGAGTCATGGAATGGAAAGACCGAAGACCAGACAGCAGTGGGATGACAGATGGATAAAAGAGACAGACAGAAAGAAAACAAAAGATAAATTGGTGTACTGGTGTTGATCATAATAAGTTCTCCAAATGTCATTCCTAGATCAGCAGAGTTGGTGAAACAGGAGGAATGACAGCTGTAGGGACTCTATGGTTTGAGGAAATGGTCACTCAAGTGTTCCTGAATTCTTTCCAGATTCCCAGTGCAGTGACCTCTCCCTTCTTCAAACCCCAAAGCTCAACTTTGCACTTCTAGCCTCCCTTCTACCCTGCTTCCCCTCCCTCTCCCCCAGCCCCTTCTTTCTTGCATTCATTCAGCATTTTCAGGTGTCTGCTCCATGGTGGACCTGGTATTGGGGTGGGGTAGAGGGATGGCAGGTCACAGTACTTGCTCCCAAGGAGCTGACACCGAGTAGGCGGCAGGGTGGGGTGGGGCGTTCCCACAACAGGTGATTCTGACACAGCAGGATGCATTGAAGTCTGGGGAGGGAGGCCAGGGCTCTGTGTGCGACGAGGAGGCACCTTCTCCCACTTGAGTGTCCTGGGAATGCAGAATGGTGTTCCCCCACATTCATGTACACCCAGAGCCTCAGAATGTGACCTTGTTTGGAAATAGGACCTTTACAGAGGTCATTAGTGGAAGATCTTGAGATGAGACTTTCTTGATTTGGAGTGGGCCCTAACTCCAATGATGTCTGTTTTCATAAAAGAAACAAGAGAGAGAGATGTGTACACAGATACTCAGAGAGAAGGTCAAGTGAAGACAGAGGCAGAGACTGCAGCGAGGCAACCACAAGCCAAGGATGCCTGGAGCCAGCAGAAGCTGAAAGGGGCGAGGAAGTAGCTTTTCCTGGAGACTCAGAGGCAGTGCAGCCCTGCCGACCCCTGGATTTCCAGCCCCTGACTTGAGAACTGTGAGGGAACACATTTCTGCTGTCTTAAGCCACCAGGTTTGTAGTAATTTGTTACAGCAGCCATGGGGGAGAGATGGCGTCTGAATGGGGTCCTGAAAAAGCAGAAGGAATCTATCAGGCAAAGAGGAAAAGGCTCCAAGCAGAAGGGCTGGCCTGAGCAGCGGTCAGAAGCCTGAGTGCTTTGGCCCATCTGGGCACCTGCAGGGAGCCGAGCACAGCCAGCCAGGGCCTGGAAGGAGGGCCCCGGTGAGAGATGAGATGAAGGGGCAGCAGGGGACAGCACTCTTCAGACACTCACCTTGGTGTAATCGTCCGCATCCGTATGCCAATGAAGCGCTTCTTCCAATCTGGAAATGAAACACGGCAAGACTCAGAACTACTGTGAAAGCTACCACCCTCCCTCGGGGACAGGCGGAGGGAATAAATTCCCCTGCGGGACCAGGAAGCAGCAGCTGTCATTCTGCTTGAGCCGCCTCAGTCCCCCTGTGGTCAGGCAGAGCTGCCCTCTCTTGATTGCCATCATGGAGCTGAGGGGCATTCTAGCTCAAGTGTGGCTCACCCCAAGGTGGCTTCATGTCCACCACAACCTGCATCCATCCATGCCAGCTCCAACATCTGCTGTCCTAGCTGAGCTCCAACCTAACCCCAGTGGCCAGTGGGGCTCTTCTTTCCAGCTTTTATACTGCTGGTTCCCCAGATTTTTCCTACTTGGAACTGAACTCATTACCTTCTCCTGGCCTCCCCCAAAATAATATTTGCTGTTAATGTCCAGTGAGTACCAACCATGTGCCAGGCCCTGTGGCTGGGGCACTGCACACACAACTCACTGAGACAGTGCCTCGGTGCCCCCAGCTACTACAGTCTATGACCCTCCCCCAGAAATAAACAGGAGTCCCTCCCCCAGAAATAAACAGGAGTCAATAAATTCAGAATTTTAATTCTAAATAAAAGTTTTGACCACAATTAGAAATCAATAACAGGTATGTATAAAGTTTCCAAATATTTGGAAACTAATAATACACTCTAAATTAATCATCTTCAAATAAGTCAAAAGAGAAATTAGAAATCATAGTTAACCAAATAAAAATGAAGAAAAGTCTCAAATCAATAACCTCACTTTCCAACTTAAAAACTAGAAAAAGAAGACCAAAGAAAACTCAGAGTAAGCAGAAGAAATAAAAGCTGAGAGTATGAATGAATAATAAAGCTGAGAGTGTGAATCAATAATAAATCTGAGTGCAAATCAACAATAAAGGTAAGAGTGTGGCTCAATAATAAAGCTGAAAATGTGACTCAATAATAAAGCTGAGTGTGAATCAATAACGCTGAGTTTGGATCAATAATAAAGCTGAGAGTGTGACTCAATAATAAAACTGAGTGTAAATCAATAATAAAGCTGAGTCAATACTAAAGATGAGTGTGAATCAATAATAAATCTGAGTGTGAATCAATAAAGATAAGAGTGTGATTCAATGAAATCAAGAGTATGCATCAATGAAACAAAGAATGTAAATCAAAAAAACACAATAGCAAAAATAAAAACTAAAAGCTGATTCTTTGAGATCAATAAAATTGATACAACTTTGGCAAGATTGATCATGAAAAGACAATTATTAACATCAAGAATTACAGAGGTGACATCACTACAGATTCTACAGACATTAAAAGGATAATAAGAGAATATTATGAACAACTTGATGTAAATGAATTTGATCACTTAGACAAAAGGAGCCAATTTCTTGAAATTTCCAAACTACCAGAGCTCATTCAAGAAGAAACAGATAACCCAAATAGCACATATATCTATTAAATAAATTGAATTTGGAGTTAAAAATCTTCCTACAAAGAAAACTTCAAGCCCAAAAGATCTCACTGGAGAATTCTACCAGATGTTTAAGGAAGAAAGAGTACTAATTCTATACAAACTCCAGAAAACTGAACACACGTGGCTACTTCTAACTTCATTAACTGGATGTCAAAACCAGAAAAGAAAATTAGACCAATATGCCTGATGAAAATAGATACAAAAATTCTTTAAAAAAATCAAATCCAACAATACATGTAAAAGTATAATACAGCTGGGTGTGGTGGCTCATGCCTGTAATCCCAGCACTTTGGGAGACCTGGGCGGGCAGATCACTTGAGGTCAGGAGTTTGAGACCAGCCTGGCCAACATGGTGAAAACCCATTTCTACTAAAGATACAAAAATTAGCTGGGCATGGTGGTGGGTGCCTGTAATCCCAACTACACAGGAGGCTGAGGTAGGAGAATCACTTGAACCTGGGAGGTGGAGGTTGCAGCGAGCTGTGATTGCACACTGCACCACTCCAGCCTGGGCAAAAGAGTGAGATTTCATCTAAAAAAAAAAAAAAAAGAAAGAAAGAAAGAAAGAAAAAGGATAATACATCACAAATAAGTGAGGTTCATTCCAGGAATGCAAACTTGGTTTAACATTTAAACATCAACCAGTGCAATTTACCACATTAATGGGCTAAAAAGGAAATCCACATGATCATCGCAAAAGATGCACAAAAAGCATCTGAGAAAATCTAACATCCATTCCCAGCAAAAATCAGAAGCAGAGGGAACTTTTCAACCTGAAGAGGGATACCTATGCAAATTTTTAGCTAACATCATACTTAACGGTGAAAGAGTGGGTGTTTTCTCCCCAAGACCAGGCACGGGATGAGAGGTCCACTCTTACCCCTTTCATTCAATATTTAACTGCAAGTGCTAGCCAGGCAAGAAAAAAAAGGCATTCAGATTGGAAAGGAAGAAATAAAACTGTCTTTATTCACAGACTGCATAGCCATCTATGTAGTAAATGTGATGGAATCTACAAAAAAAAAAAAAAGTTTCTAGAAGCAGTAAGTGAGTTACTGAGCTTGCAATATCTCTTATGGTAAACATTCAAAAAATCATTTTAATTTGAATATTCTCTTAATCCACCATCGGAAACTGAAATTTAAAATAATACATCATTTATAATAGCATCAAAATTAAGAAATACTTAGGAATAAATCTGGTGAAAAATGCAAAAAACCAGTACCCTGAAAACTATGAAACATTGCAGAGAGAGGAAGAGGTATTCTGTATTCCTGGGTCACAAGAGTTGCCATTGTTAAAATGCCAAATTCCCCCCAATTGATCTGTAAATTCAATGCTATCCCAATCAGGGCATCAGCAGGCTTTGTTTTTCTTTTTGTAGAAATTGACAAGCTTATTCTGAAATTCACGTAGAAATGTAAAGGGTCTGAAGAGCCCATGTAACTTGGAGAAGGAAGAATGAAGTCAGGGGACTCACACCGCCTGCCTGCTGGGGCCACCGCGAAGCCACCATGATCCAGCCGGTGCAATACTGGCATACAGACACGTAGCTAGAATGGCACATGGCCACTCTCTTTTTGACAAAGGTGTGAAGGCATTTCAGTAGAGAACGGTCTTTCAACAAATGGTGCTAGAACAACTGAATTTCCAGGGCGAAAACAACAACAAAAAACCCCAAACCTCGATCTATACTTTGCATTATTTAGAAATATAATAATTCAAAATGCATCGCAATCCTAAATCTGAAACCTGGAAAAGTAAAACTTCCAGAAGAAATTGTAGGAGAAAAATCTTTCTGATCTTGGGTGAGCAAAGACTTCTTAGATACACCACCAAATGCATGACAAATTAAGAAAATAGACTTCACCAAAATTTCCCAAAACTTCTGCTCTTCAAAGACACTGTTCAGAGGGCGAAAAGACAAGCCACAGAGCCGGCGAAAATACCTGGAATTCGATTATCTGATAAAGGGCTCCTATCGAGAATGCAGAAGAACCCTCACAACTTACTAATAACACACATAACCTAAATGTTTTAAATGGGCCAAATGTTTAAACCCACCAAAGATGAATGGCCGATGAATATGGCGTGTGGGAGATGGGGCCAGAGCTGGCAGGGAGGCCTGAACCCCAGGTCCAGTGGGTCCTGGGAGGCTTTGGATTTGACCCTGAATCACCAGATGTGATCTGCCCTTCTCTGGCGGTGGGAGGGCCTGTGGGGATGGGGCAGCAGCCGGAGGAGCCCGGAGAGGCAATGGTCCAGCGCAGCGGGTGCCCCGGCACTGGACCTGGAGGTGGAGGCGCAGCGGCAAAAAGGCGCGGGGGTGGATGCGTCCTGAAGGCTGGGCCAGTGGACTCCCTGACAGTGGGTGAGAGGTGTGGGAAGTCCCTCGTCCTTGGAGGGATGAGGCTGACGTAGCTGTGTGGGGACAGCAGGAGGGGCTGCAGGAGCAGGGGTCTGTCAGGTGCCCTGAGAGTGGGAGCTGCTGAGACATCGGTGGGGACATCCCACAGGCAGCTGTCTGAGCCTGGAGTGGGAGGGGCCAGGCTGGGGCCGCAAATCCGGGGGGTCACTCTCCAGGTGGCTTCTAAATCCAGCAGACGGGATCCTCAACAGGTCCCCACACGGCCCACTCGGGACATACGGGCTTCCTGCTCCCACTGCCTGGGGGTTCCCTGCGACCTCCAGAGCCTGCCCCGATCCCTTCCCACAGTCTCTGGCGGAGGTGGGTCATCCGGTGCAGCCCTTACCCTCGAGGCCCCAGCCCTGCCCCAGCCTCCTCCCAGCACCCCTCACTCTGATCTGCGGCATCTGGGGGTGCTTTTGTGACCCATCTCCCTGCCAGGAGGAAAGCAGGAGGGCAGGACCTCTGTCTGGATCACAGCCCACAGGAGTCCGAGGCACAGCTGGCACGTGAACAGTGGCTGTGGCCCCCGCTGACTTAGACCCACTGTGTGCGTGGGAAGGTAGAGGCCCAGTAATGCCCCTGGGCCGGAGGTGGGGAAGGCAGGACTGGCGGCACTCAGGATGGGGACTCTGAAGCCTCTTCTCCTTGAACTTGCGAGGAGAGCAGAGCACACACCAAGTACGGGGCCGCCAGGCTCCCCTCCCGTCCTGCTCCCGGCCCTGCTCCTGCCGGGTGGCTGGGCTGCCTCTGTCAGGCTTTTCCTCTCCTGGAAAGGACTCGGGACTCCACCCAGTATGGGGACCTGAAAGCAGGGGACCCTATGGCTTCTGAGACCAGGGGACCCTGTAACCTCTGAGACCGGGGAACCTTTTGGCTTCGGACAACACGGGACCCTGTGACCTCTGAGACTGAGGAACCATGAGGCCTCTGAGGCGGGGGTATCCTATGATGTCTCAGACCAGGGCGCATGTCCCCTCCCCTACAGCTCTCCCTTGGCATGTGGGCCACAGGATAAGTGAGGGGGTCACCTTCCAGGCCAGAGGTCTCCCACCTATGAACTGCACTGTCCCCCACAGTCCACAGAGGGGCAGATGCCCATAAAGGACCCCACCCCATGTGGGGCTACACTCTGGTCCTAAGACTGGCTGGACTCCATCCCGCCTGGGGCTCCCCAAACATGCATGGTGGCCACTCTTTACCTGAAAGCCCCCCAGAGGCCTCTGCACCCCACACCCAGATGAAAATAAGAAATGCACTTAATGGGTCCTTGATTTAATAAAAAGATTGCTCACTTCAAAGAACTTTAGATTAACTGGGTTTGGATCATTGGATTTTATTAAATAAAAAAGAAAAGCAAATACAGACAGCAGTCAACTTCAGAAGGAGTTTAAAATTGCAGCTGTGCCATGCAGCTAAGGTTATCAGGTTCCTCAGTTACACTGTGCTGTCCTCAGGGAGGGGACAGAGCTCTGGGGACAGGGGGTGTTTCCCAGGGGTCTAGGATGAGGTCAGCACTAACTTGGACAGTCCCTGTACAACAAAGGAGCAAACCCAGGCCCTGGGGGGTCCCGTCTGAGAGGAGAAACAGAGAGGCAAGAAGGGAAGAAGACGCTGTCATCCACTTCCAGGAAAGTCACCTCCCAGCTCAGTGTGTGCAAAGAGCAGCTCCCCTGATTTCCAGAAAATGGGCTGCAGTCAAAGGCACCCACGGAGAACGGGACAATTCAACAGGAAAGGCTCGGTCATGAGGGAAAGGAGCTCCATCAGGAAAAGGAGGTCAGGGCGCACCCGTGGATCTAGTTCTGAGCTTCCTAGAAGCCAACAGGGAAAGGGCTCAAGAGTTTGGATGGTGCCCGCTGTTCAAGAGAAGAAGACTTCAGCTTCCCTGGGAAGGACAGGCTCTGCCTGGCTCCAGATCGTCTTCCCATATGGACACAGAAGAGCAGTGGTGGCAGCCTCAACAGCAGCTCTTCCTGCGGCCAGCCCTCACGGCACCGGCCTGGCTGCACTGGGGTCCGTGTGCTTGGCTGGAGGGGTCATGGAGGAGGGGGCAAGCATGAGGAAGCCCCTGCTCTCAATGAACTGCCAGTGAGGGGGCTGGGCAGAGACAGGAAAGCAACGTGGCAGCGTGAGTTGCTGAGTCGGGCCTGGGCGTTGGCCGGGAGGTGGGCATGGGGTACACAATGGCAGGAGGGAGCAGCTCACCAGGGCCGAAGAGAAAGTGGGGAGGTGGAGGCCCCCAGGAAGGGCCCTGCGATCAGAAGCATAGCCCTGCTCTGGAAGGTGGCCGGGACCGCCCGCTTAAGGAGGGGATGGGCGTGCTCTCACTTGGGAGAGTTGCCAAGTGCCCCGGCGAGACCTCTCCCAGATGGGTGCTCATGGCAGTCTAGGCGTGGGCAGGGTGGGCTGGACATCCCTACTGGAAGGGGGTGAGGAAATGGCGGCTTGAAAGAGGGTGAATTCCAAGGACCAGGATATTGAACTCTGCTCCCCTCGCATAGAGGATTCTCTACCATGTGATCTGCATGGCCCACAGCCTGGAAGAAGAAGTACTCAGGAGTGGGTAGATGATGGAAGAAAGGGAGAGTGGAGGGATAGGGATCGAGGGACAGCTAGGTGGGCAGATGGATGGATGGATAGGTAGGTAGACAGGTGAATGAGTGAGTGGGTGGATGGGTGGAAGGAAGGAGAGAAGAAAGAAAGGAAAAGATGAAGGAAGAAATGGTGGATGGGTGGGTGAATGGGTGGATGGGTGGGTGGATGGGTGGATGGATGAATAGATGGATGGATGGATGAATGAATGAATGACTGATGGAAGAATTGGTGGGCAAAAGAAGAAATGAGTGGTTGGGTGAGTGGATGGGTGGATACAGGATGGATGGATAATAGACAGGTGGATGGATAAATGGGTAAATGGCGAGTAGGTGGGTGGATGGTTGATGGATAGGTGGATGGATGAATGGGTGAATGGCTGGATAGGTGGGTGGATAGAAGGGTGGATGGATGATGGATAGGTGGATGGATAGTAAATGGATGGATGGAAAGATGGGTGGACAAATTGATAAATGGGTAGAAAAGCTGTGGGTGGTGGGTGGGTGAGTGGATAAATGAATGATTGAATGGATGGGTGGATGGGTAGGTGAATGGATTGGTGAATGGATAGGTGGATGGATGGGTGGGTGGATGGGCGAGTGGATGGATGGATGGGTGAGTGGATGGATGAATGCATGGATGAATGGATGAATGGATGGATGGATGGATGGATGGATGGATGGGTGGATGGATGGGTGGATGGTTGGATGGATGGATGAAAGGATAGATAGACAGATGGATGGATTAATGGATGGGCGGACAGGTGGATGGATGGGTGGACAGGTGGATGGATGGGTGGACAGGTGGATAGATGGATGGATGGATGGAAGGAAAGAAACACCTGGTGGATGGATGAGGTGGGTGGATGGATGGATGGATGCATGGACGGATGGATGACGGATGGATAGATGGCTGGAAGGAAAGAAACACCTGACAACTAAGGGACAGCCCAGAAAAGAGGAGTCCACAGAGTCCAAGAAACTGATGGTGGGAGCTGAGATCAGAGATCCGCAGCCAAAGGGAGATAGCTTTGGAGGGGCAGGGGGTGAACGTGACCATGAATTGATGATAGGCAGGGGGAAAGATCCAGAAACAGGCTGAGAATAAGCTGTCCCAGGGGTCTCATAGCTTCGGGATGGAAGACAGGGCCTGGCCAGTAGTGAGCAAGGTTCACCCAGAACCTCCGATGGGCCCTGGCCCCAGGGCTGGTGGTGGTGGGGGTTAGTGCCCCTGCCTCTGGCCTCTCCAGGTGAGCTCTTTACCTTTGATGTGCTTGTCCTGGAATTCTGTGAGGAAGCGCGTGATGCGGTCGGAGGGGATGGCAAAGGAGATGCCGGCTGTGACCTTGAGCGTGTTGATGCCAATGACCTCGCCATCCTGGGCAGGAAGGTAAGAGCAGGCATCAGTTGGGGGAACCCAGGCAAACCCCTGCCCACGAAGCACTGTGTCCATGGCTCTGTTTCTATAGGATGACCCTGGCTGTCAATCCCCTGCAGCTCCGACTCTCCTGAAAAGGCCACTCTCAGGGTCACACCTGGGTCAGTGACCCACCTCGAGATTCCCCCTTTCCAGCCCTGGAGACTATTTCCAGGGAAGCTTGCAGCTCGGGCCTGTCCCCAGGCTCCGGCCTCTCTGCCTCTAAGAAGCAGGGCCACTGGGCCAAGGGCAGTGCCAGGCCACACTGGGAGGGACTGAGAGAGGAAGGAACATGGTGAGGCCCGTCGGGGACTGAGACTCAGTCTATCTTTTCCTTCGGAAGTGGGGGTCTGGTGGGTGAGGCCAGGGGAGCTCATAGACCCCCCACTCCCTCTCTTTGGAGCCCCTCCCAACCTGCCCTTCCCCCCATGAGCTGGTGCCACCTGGGCAGGATCTCACCTGGCCCCTAGGGACCTCACACTTGGGCACGCTGCTGGAAAGGAGCCCCACTCCACCTGGCATGTACCCGTAGCCCTGCCCTCCTGGCCAGGGCCTGGCCAGCTCACTAGGGGACCTCTGGGCCCTGGGGCAGAGCCTTGGATCACGGCACCCTTTGTCCTCCTGGTCCCTGGAAGCTCAGGAGGCGGGAAGTGCAGCCCAGTGTCGAGGCAGTGGGCTGAGGTCTGTGTCTGGCCTCAGGCTCCTGTGCTCATGTCTGCTGCCTGGACCGCGTGGAGCAGCCTCTGGGGAGCAGCCTCTGGCTTCCTGGCCTCCAGCCTACACCACACACACGAGCTTCCCCAAAACCAGGGCATGCCCTCAGCCCTGCCAAAAGCCTGGAAGACATCTTGGGCACACAGGGAGAAGCCCCATCTGCACACGAGGCCTGATGCAGCAGGACACGGGCCACCAGCTCCTGTCGCTACCCCTTTGTCTGACCTCCCTCACCCTAAGCCTCTGAGAGCCTCCCCAGTGCTCATGCTGTGCCTTCCCCCTGAGGTCTCTTTCTCCTGTGCCCAGTCCTCCTCAATCTCAGTGCCGTTGTGTAATGGTGTCACCTCCAGGAAGCCCTCCCTGATCTCACATCAGCTGTCAGGACTTCCTGCCCGGCATCCTCCTCCAGAGCCATCTCATGTGGCTCCCATTGTGCTTGTTCATGTCTAGACACCTCCCCTGCCATGGACTGGAGCTCCAGGGATGGGACTGTCCAATTCTTCAGGGCCTAGGAGCTCTGAACCGAGTTTCCTGGTTCATTCTGGAAAAATCTCACCTGGGATGAGGCTGAGCCTGACTTTGAGGCCCAAGACACTATTGGGAAGGGGTGATTGAGGGCGACAGAAGAGAATGAGGGTGCCCCTGTCATCCTGTGTGTACACCCAGGGCAGGGAGGCCTGGGGTGAGCAGTCCCACACCTGCGTCTCCCGTGCCCCAGCTTCCCTGACGGCGACATGGCCCCGGACCGAGCTGCTGCTCGTGGGCAAGCCCTCATTCCTAGCGGCCGCCAGCCTCCCTGAGGTGCTCTGGGCAGCATGTGCTCTGGTCTGTCCCGCTTCCAGGCCTCAGCCCAGCCACACTCCTGACTGTTGCTGTAAGGTTCTGGGACCCTATTGTGGGTGGGGCCTGTCCCACCTCAAGGCTGAGCGCCCCCATGTGAGAAGAGCCCCAGAAACCTAGAGATTTTGGCTCTAGGGGACACTTACCAGGTTCACCAGCGGTCCTCCGGAGTTCCCGTACTGCAAGGGGAGGAAACGGCATTAGCTGTGCCTGACCCCGCCTGGGGGCTCCTGGAGCTCCTTCCTCCAACTCTACTTCTAACCAATGCAGAGGTGCATAAGCATATTTCAGCCCAGCAGCATCCAAAGGCCTCAGCGCTGTCCCCATTTCACAGATAAGAAGGCCAAGGCCCACAGAGGCCAGGCGGATGGCGCCTGATGACCGGGGTCTGACCGTTACTGTCGTCTGCACAAACCGGCATCTCCACCCTCGAGGCCAGGCAGCACTGCCTGGTGCATGGAGAACGGGGGTGTTAATTCCCATCCTGCCAGCCTGGGGGCCTCTACGAAGACTCAGGTTTCAGCCAAGTGCCCGAGCCGCGGCAGAACTGGACGGACGTGATCTGGGCATCTGGGCAAAGTGCTTTGTGAATGCTAAAGGTGCCACCGACATAATCACAATCGTTGTGAAAAGCAGCATCGGCCAGGGTGTATTGGCCAGGGTGTGTCAGCTGGGCAAAGGTGTCTCCAGGCCATGGCTGTGCCTCTCTGTCTCTGAAGGGCTGTCTGAGCGTGGACAGCAGCCTCTGACTCCCAGGGGGCCAGGCACCCTGGGGTGGAAGTCACAGGGTTAGAGCTCCACCCAATGTAAAGAAAGAACTTTCTAGCAAGTGGATGTGCCAAGTGACAGAACGGCTCTGGGGACGGGGGCAAGTCAACTCAGAGGCTACCTCGAGGTCTTGGGCACAGATGGCAGGTGCCTGGCCTCCTGTCCCTGGGACTCACATTGATGATGGCATCCGTCTGGATGTAGTCCATGTCGGAATCCCGGAGGCCCAGCTCCCTGCCCTCCCGCTGGGCAGTGCTGACGATGCCCGTTGTCACTGTGTTCTGCAGGGCGAAGGGACTGCCGATGGCCACCACGAACTCCCCAGGCCGCAGGTCAGCCGACTGACCCAGCAGCAACACGGGGAGCTTTTTCTAGGAGAGAGAACACACAGAGAGGGAGGGTTAGCCATCTGCTTTCAGTGTGGACCGCAGTCAGATCCTGGCGGGGGGGTCCCAGGGAAGGCAGGCACATCTGTGCAAAGCCACCAGGACTGTGAAGGCCCAGGCAGGCCACCAGTACAGACCCCCTTCAGAGCAGCTCTCTGCTGAGACCCAGGGCTGGGGTAAGAGCAGCCCGGGACAGAGGCGTAGCTGTGCCAGGGACCAAAGGTTCCCCGGGGCAGGCATGGGCGCTCATCATGGGTAGTGCCTGCGGCTCAGCACAGCATCTAGGGTCATTGAGCCCAGTGATCTGATGGTCACATGTCCTCTAAAAATCCGGTAAAGGCTGCGGACACCTGGTAAAAACGACCACACCGTATGCACCACACACAAACAGATGCATTTGATGGCGAGAAATCTGCAGGCCCCTGGAGCCCAGCTAAAGACTCCGGGAGCCCCAGTTCTGAAATCTTTGATCTAGTTTCAACCCATCTCCCAAAAGACACACACAGAGGACAGAGGCCTGGAGAGGTGAAGCGGCTCAGCCAAGCTCCACCCCCGGCCCTGCACACTGAGACACCTGCAGGCTCCTCTCCTGCTTCTGCATGGGGCCAGCAGCTGATTATCTGACTCTGCACCTAGCCTGGGAGCTCAGAGAGCAGCCTAGCTCCGTGTCTGTGCGGCGCACACTCTGAGAAGGTGCTCCAGGTGCTTGTTAGAAGGTGCCTGAAGCGCACATGCACGCGTGATAAACAGGTGAGGGCGACTCTGTGTTAGTGCCCGCATCAGCCTCCCCGTCCTGGTTTTGTGCCGTTGAGGGAAGCTGGGGAAAAGGCTCCTGGGACCTCGAGGTACTACCCTGTAGCTTCTCGTGGGTCTGCAGTGAGCCAGGTCACATGAGCCTTGCCCCAACTCAGGAGATCAGTGGGGCAGGACCCCATGCCTCTGACCCTCCAGACGGCTCCACCCCACCTGGCCACTGGCCCGTCTCACCGTTTCAGACCTCTTCACTTTTACTGTATGCCATCATGTCAAATAAGAAAGTTTCTTTGCGGCTTTCAATACAAGGAGAAAGCTGTCCGTAGTGGGGTGGCGTAGAGCCCTGCACAGGGTCAAAGCAGCCCCCGCTGGGCAGGCGCCGGCCTGGGGAAGGCTCAGGCTGCTCCTCTATTCTCTGTGCTGCTGGGGCTCATGAGGCTTCAATCAGTGGCAGAGAGAAGCCCCAGTGGCGGAACCAGGCCTGCTCACTGGAAGGCGAGGACCCAGAGAGATGACATTGTCTACTGCTGAGCAGCTGAAGACGCAGAAATAACAAGGTCTGAAGCCCCTGGGAGATGACGAGCTGGGGCGGGGTCAGCCCACCCTTTCTGTGCCCCAGGAGGGTGCCCAGATGCGGGTAGGAGCCTTTCCTGTGGCTCAGTTTCATGCATAGGGGCTCGGAGGGCATTTCCACTATCAGGTCATGGCCCTGGGTTCAGGGCCTGCAGGACATGAGTCACATTGGCTCTGCCTGCACCTCTTGGCCACAGGTGGCTGGTGGGGCATCCTGCTCAGCCCCACCTGGACACCACGCCACCAGTCCTGCCAGCATTCTGCCTCAGCCGCCGGAAGGGGAGAGACACATCTGCCCCTGGTCTGGCTCTCCTCTCCCCAAGGGGGTCCTTGAGCGGGGCTTGCAAACTGGCCCAAGGCCCGAATGCCACCTGCCCACTGCCTGTTCTGTAAATCAAGCTTCACTGGACTCTGTCACACCCACCTGTGCAGCCTGAGGCTTCGTTCTTGCCACAGCAGAGATGCGTGGTTGTGACAGAGACCCAGAGCTTGCAAAGATAAAATATTTACCATATGGCTTCAGGGAAAATTTGTTGGCTGAGCACCATGGCTCACGCCTGTAATCCCAACACTCTAGCCAGGCAGGAGGATTGCTTGAGCCCAGGAGTTCTAGACCAGCCTGGGCAATACCACAAGGCCCTGTCTATCAAAAATTTAAAAATTAGGCCGGGCGCGGTGGCTCAAGCCTGTAATCCCAGCACTTTGGGAGGCCGAGGCGGGTGGATCACGAGGTCAAGAGATCGAGACCATCCTGGTCAACATGGTGAAACCCCGTCTCTACTAAAAATACAAAAAAATTAGCTGGGCATGGTGGCACGTGCCTGTAATCCCAGCTACTCAGGAGGCTGAGGCAGGAGAATTGCCTGAATGCAGGAGGCGGAGGTTGCGGTGAGCCGAGATCGCGCCATTGCACTCCAGCTTGGGTAATGAGCGAAACTCCTCCTCAAAAAAAAAAAAAAAAAAAAAAAAAAATTTAAAAATTAGCCCGGTGGGGTGGTATGTGCCTGTAGTCCCAGCTATTCAGAAGGCTGAGGTGGGAGGATCCCTTGAGCCCAGGAGTTTGAGGCTGCAGTGAGCTATGATTGTGCCACTCCAGTCTGGGCAACAGCAAGACCCTGTCTAGGAAAAAAAAAAAAAAAAAAAAGGATAGGAAAGAGAAGAAAAGAAAATCTGGGGGCTGGGCGCAGTGGCTCATTCCTATAATCTTAGCACTTCAGCCGGCCAAGGCAGGTGGATCACCTGAGGTCAGGAGTTTGAGACCAGCCTGACCCACATGGTGAAACCCTATCTCTACTAAAAATATAAAAATTAGTGGGACATGGTGGCATGCACCTGTAGTCACAGCTACTCGGGAGGCGGAGGCAGGGGAATCACTTGAACCCAGGAGGCAGAAGTTGCCATGAGCTGAGATCCTGCCACTGCACTCCAGCCTGGCGACAGAGCAAGACTCCGTCTCAAAAAAAAAAAAAAAAAGAATGTGGCACTCCCTCTTCACTCTCTCTCTGGCTCCGCCCCGAGAAGACCTGCCTGCTTCCCCTTCATCTTCTGCCGCGACTGTAAGTCTCCTGAGGCCTCCTGGTCATGCTTCCTGTACAGCCTTTGGAACCATGAGTCAAGGAAACCCCTTTTTGTTATAAATTACCCAGTCTCAGGTAGTTTTTTGCAGCAGTGTGAAGATGGACGCACACAGGGCCTTTCCTCCCAGGCCTGGGTGGGAATTACAAGAGTGTAGCCAGTGCCCACCCGCGAGCAGGCTTTCTGCAAACAGCTGGCGGAGGAACAGGAGGACTCCGGAGGCCTCAGTGCAGGCTTCTGCTTGGGCAGCTGGCAAGCGATGGGGGCCCTGTCCCAAGTGTTCCCCACGGCAGCCCACTGGGCTCCACGCCCACACCCAGGCCCCATCCCGTGGGGCACTTGCATCCCCAGTAGTGGGTCCAGGTGTCACCGTGAAGAGCCTCCACAGGGCAGCGGAATGGGACTGTAGCCCACCCACTGTGGGCCATGCTTCCTGCCTCTGCCCTGTACCTCGCGGCTCAGGGAGCGAAGGGCAAGGAGCCCAAAGACCTGGGCTCCAGGTCTTACCTGAGCCATGACCCTGGGCCAGGTGCCAGTCTTCCCTGGTCCCGAGTTCCTCCCACTGGCCGATGGAAGGTGGGGCTAGCTCGCCTCTGGTGACTGGCATCTGGGAGGAGGCCACCATGCCCAGCCCCAGGTGCTTCCGCCCCTTGCCCATGCCCACCCACCTTTGGGTGGATCTTGATGGTGGCAATGTCAGACTTCTTGTCGATGTCTTTGATGGTGGCCTCATAGGAGTCCCCATTCTGCAGCTGTACCTTGAGCTGCTGCCGGCCTGAGGCAGTGTTCCTGCTGGTCACCACGTGGGCATTGGTGACGATCAGCCCGGCCTCTGACATGATGAAGCCCGAGCCGCTGGACAGGGGCACGTTGCGGCCAAACAGCGGGTGTCTGCGGCCAGGGAGACACAGGCAGGCGTTTAGGGTGGAGCTGGGACGCGAGGGAATCGGGCGCAGAGGTGGGGCTGGTCATTGAGGAGCAGAGACAGCGTGCAGCTGACAGAACACAGGTCTGGAGTCCCTCAAGCCCCTGTTTAAATCCTGGCCCTGTGACCTGGCCAAGTCACCTAGCCTGCACCTACTCACAGCCATAAAGAGGTGACGATGATCACCTCTGGCTGCAGTTCGCTGAGATGAGACGGGCTGCCTGCAGTGCCGGATGACGCCCGGCGTGCACTCACCACCCTGACTACGGAGCATGGAGCCAGACAGACCAGGATGCTAATCTCAAGTCCGGTCCCCACTTATTATCAGCCTGGCTGCGGGCAGGTCAGTGAAGCTCTCTGAGCCTTGGTGTCCCCATGGGAAATGGGAAAACTCCTCCTCCGCTGGGTGGTGACGCCTGGGTTCCAAAACACCTCTCAACAAACAGGACGATAGCTGGCCCTAGGGGAAAAGCTCCATTGCACACACAGCATCCTCCGGGGCTGCAGCAGGTGCCCAGGAAGGGAGGCGCCCCAGAGGCTGGGGCAGATTCCTGACAGGCAGAGCGAGTGAGCGCTGGGAAGGCTGGGAAAGCTTATTCCTACCTCCCTCTGCCCCCCACCCCCAGGCTGGCTGCCTGAAGCCCTGAATGTGGCAGCGCTGGCAGCAGGCAGAGGCAGGGCCTGGGCCCGCCACACCCCGAGGGTGGGGGTGCAGGGGTACAGATGAGGCCCTGCTCTCTCTGAATGGGGTGGAACTGGCCAGGGTCTGCACTGGTGTCCGCTGATGGGCAACAATCCCCAGATCGCAACAGAGCTCTTTGTAGAAGCCACAGTCTCATGCCCAGCAGGGGAGGAGGCTGAACGCCAGATACAGCCTGGGACCATCTCCAGAGTGGGAGCCTTCGGGACCCCCGCGCGGGGCCCAGCCCAGAGCAGGTGCACACTCCCTGAGCCTCCTTCGCAGAGATGAGCAAGGGAAACGAGACAAGCACGCAGGGATGGGAGCGCCCGGCGCAGGCAGGGAGGTGACGGTGTCTGCAGGGTACAGGCGTGTGGCCATGACCCACGGGACCGGACGGCAGCCAATGCCAGCCAGCGCTCCCTCGGAGGCAGCCAGGCCATTGAATGCTCATGGGCGCCCTACAGGGGAGGTGCTGTGGTGAGCTGTGTCCCCGCCAAGAGATATGACCAAGTCCTAACCACACAGCCCCATGTATGTGACTTTATGTGGAAACAGGGTCTCCGCAGATGTCACGAAGTTGAAATGAGCTCACGGTGGGTCTGGGGCGGCTTTAGAGGAGGGAAGTCCAGACTCACAGAGGGGAGGGCCGTGAGCTGATGGAGACAGGGACCGGAGAGAGGGGTCTAAGCCGAGGGGCACAAAGGTCTGCGGAAAACACCAGCACCAGTAGAGGGGCCGGGGACACTCTCCCCACATCCCCCAGAAGAAAGCAGCCCTGCTCACACCTTGATCAGGACTTCCAGCCTCCGGAACTGTGGATTAGACGCCTCTGTCCCTTCAGCCACGCAGCCTGGAATACCTTGTTATGGCAGCCACAAGAAACGGCTGTCGTCTCTCTAACTCGCAGGTCTTCACCTCACGGTGGGGAAACTGAGTCCTGCGATGCTGAACTACTTGCCTGGTCAGATGGGCCAGGGGCAAAGCAGGGGTCTGCCCCCAGGCAGCCCGGGCATCTGGCCACTCGGCCACCGCACACAGTGGCCCCAGCATCTGTCCACTCACGTCTGTAGCCAGCTCCTGCTACACCCACCCTGCGTGTACCCCAGAGCAGGACCCGCATCTGTTTGGCCTGTGGAAGTCCCAGTGTGCCTCCCAGGGCCTGGCACCTATGGGGTCAGCAGAAAATGCCCACGGCCACCCACTGGCCTCCATGCACACACCCAGACCCCAGGTGAGGGGTCACAGCCAGGAGGCCCACGGGCCCCACGAGCATCTATCTCATCTGTCTGCTCGGTCTCACCCACCCACTCGGGGCACCAGCTGCTGGAAGCTCTGAGGGTGGAGATGGAGATGGCCTCCCAGCCGGGCTGCAGTCAGTAATTAGCTGGTTCAGAGCCTGGCGGCTGGGACCTTCCAGAAAGATGCTGCCCCCATCCCTGCCTCCTGGAAGGCCAGCTACCTGCCACTTAGTGCATCCAGTTATAATCTCAATGACACGTCTCAGGGCCCAGGGCAAGAGAAGGGCAGTGAGGGGTCAGTGTGCTGCCAAGGGGGCAGTGAGAGGCCTATCAGCGCGGGCACTGGGCATGGGGGAGCCGGGGCTGTGGGTCCTGCATGGGTGGCACCCCCAGGGCTGTTTTGAGAAACGACAGCCCAGGGAGCTCCCAGCAGGTGCGGAGGATGTGACACTCAGGTGCTATGCGCCCGTCACCCGCTCCGGCACCCCCATTCAAGGAGCACAGCCTCTGCCGGAGAGCCCAAGATGGGGATGGCAGAGGGGCAGTGATGCCGGGTGAAGGGGCTTGGACCAGACAAGCGCCGAGCCAGCCAGCAGGGACGCTGCGCTGGAGCAGGAATTGCTCCTGGGATCTCCAGATGAGCCACCGGGTCCTCAGGGCCCGGCCTAGGGCAGTGGAGCCTGGTGACAGGGAGGCTGGAGGCCTCAGGGAGCGTGCTGTGTAGACAAGCAAGTCCCTGGAGCCCTGGCCGGTGCCCCTGGTGACTGCTCGTCGCCGGCCTGGACTCAAAGTCTGATCCCTGTCAGGGTGGAATGAGGCTCAGTTCTGAGGCCTCCTCATCAGGCTGTTTGTCGGCTCCATCCACACCCCGGGGCCAGGAAAGGTGGAAGAGAGAAACACTCTAAACCGAAAAAGAATCACGCCATCTGCTTCTGCAGGATATGTCAATCTGGGACAAGCTCCCAGGATCCAGTGTGAGCAAACTGGACATTAGGCAGTCCACACAGCCACAGATTCCAAGGGCAGGGCTCCCCGGAACCAGCTCAGAGAGTCCCTGTGATGGGGGAGATGGCAGAGGTTGGGGATGGTGCCAGGAACCCGGGCAGGCCCTGCGGGAAGAAGGGGAGGTGGCTTTGCCTGTGCATCTACAAGGAGAGGTCTTGCTGGGGAGGATGGCGGGGGCGGGGGAGGAGGGCTGTGAGGCCACAGGGTGCACACTGCTTCCTCTCCCAGGCTGCGACATCCTGCTTCCCTCCTGACGGACTCCATTCATTCATTTACTCATCCATTGTGCATTCACTCATTCGCTCTGTCACTCATTCATTCTGCCACTTCCTCCCTCCCTCCCTCCCTCCATTCATTCTGCCACTTCCTCACTCACTCATTCCCTGCCTCATTCATTCATTCATTCATTCTGCCACTTCCTCACTCACTCACTCCTTCCCTCATTCATTCATTCTGCCACTTCCTCTCTCACTCACTCCTTCCCTCATTCATTCTGCCACTTCCTCTCTCACTCATTCCCTGCCTCATTCATTCATTCATTCATTCATTCTGCCACTTCCTCACCCACTCATTCCTTCCCTCATTCATTCATTCTGCCACTTCCTCACTCACTCACTCCTTCCCTCATTCAGTCATTCTGCCACTTCCTCACCCACTCATTCCTTCACTCATTCTGCCACTTCCTCCCTCTCTCCCTCCCTCCCTCCCTTCCTCATTCATTCATTCTGCCACTTCCTCACTCACTCCCTCCCTCACTCATTCATTCTGCCACTTCCTCACTTACTCACTCTTTCCCTCATTCATTCATTCTGTCACTTCCTCACTCACTCACTCCTTCACTCACTCATTCATTCTGCCACTTCCTCATTTGCACATTCCTCCCCTCACTCATCCATGCACTGACTGGCGTGTTCACTGGCCCGACCCTCATTCCTCCCTGCTCTGGCCACATGGCCTCGGTGCTTGCTGAGCTGTCCCCACTGCCCTGCACCCACTGGCTCAGCTCTCAGGTGGCCTACTCCAGCCCGAGCTTGTGAGGCCACCGGAGTCCCTGGGTCACTGCCCGGAGCGCTGCTCTCCATCTGCCGTGACTCTGATCCTCGCTCACATACCTCCTGCCTTCCAGCATCTCCCCCACTGGGTTCTGTGTCTGCTTTACTGCATGACCCCTTGGGAAGACAAACAGGACGCAGGCACCGAGCAGCATGGGTGGCAGCATGAAGGGACAAACACCTACAGGTACCACCGCCTGCACCTTCTTGGTGCCTACCGCTCCAGCAGGTTGGGGGTCACTTTAGCGGGGATGTCCTTCCACAGGGGCACACGGGCAGCCGGGAGATGAGACTGGCATCAGCCTGACCCCAGGCCACTCCTGCTTCTGTGGCCCTGGCTGCAGCGTCCAGCCTCCTTTGGGCCCCAGCAGCTGTCGGCTGCGCAGTGGACACCGGGAGGCGGGGAAGGGCAAGGGGTCTCTACCCACCTCAGGAAGAGCTCTATGTGGACCACGGCTGGTGCGATCTTCTCCACCACGTCGGCGATGAAGTTGAACTTGTACCTCGGGCTGCTCAGCTGGTGGAGACCTGCGCTGGCGGGAAGGGCCAGGTGCGGCGGTGAGACGGGGATGCTGCCGGCTCCCGGAGGCCTATGCCCAGGGGGTGGGAGGAGGAGGCTCTTCCCGAGACCGCTGCCTGGGTTCAGAGCCGACCTCAGCCCACGCTGAGCCCACTGGGGACCCCCTACCCCACAGCAGTGCAGTGACACCAGGCATTTGGGAAGGGGGCTCGCTCCCTCCGAGAATGGTTAAAAAAGGCTTCCACGTACTGGGCTTCCTTGCCTCACCTCCCTGGACCCTGCTAGGCCGGCCGCGAGGCCCAGAGAGCTTAGGACACTGCCCTGGGCCACACGGGAGTGAGGCTGGCCGGATCTCAGGACAGTCCCCCAGGCTTTTTCTATCCCCTAATGCGACAGCAATACCCTTGCAGGAGAGAACTGCCCCTCTCCTCACACGCTCCAGCTGGCCCCTCCGAGCCCTGGGGCTACAACAGTGTCCAGATGAGGGTACAGTGGGAGCCCCCCAGGCGTCCCTTCTGAGCTACCCAGGCCTGGCCACAGTGAGGCCCCTCTGGGCCAACAGGGTGCCCATTTCTGAGCCCACAGGGCCCCACATCTGAGTCTAACTTGGCCACACCCCAGCCTGACTTGCCAGACGGTTCACAAACTTCCCTGGACCCTTCCTGGGCTCAGATTCCTGCTGCCGTCAGCAGCGGGGGCTGTGGCTGCCAGGACCACAGGCCTGAGGCATGCGGTGGCACGGGGCCCACAGCCCTCGGGGTCCCCTGTGCAGGCCTGTGCCAGGACCTCTCTGGTTCCCACCATCTGGAACCCACACTGCCCAGCCTCGCTCCTGGCTACCATGCCCCAGAATGAGCACTGGGCTGGGAGCTGCACACACTAGGGGTCCGGCTGGGCCTGGCTGCTTTCTAGCTGTGTGGCCTCAGACAAATCACTTACCCTCTCTGGGCCTCAACAACCTCTCATCTGAAAAATGGGACTGAAGACGCCCTCCTCCCACATCTGTGGGAACTGAGTGTGGAGGGCTGTGGACCTCAAGCCCCTGCCCCGGGGGACACCCACCCACCCGGACATCTTGGCCACGGGGAGCAAAGAGGGCTCAGTCCATAACGTCCATGTCTGCAGGCGATGTGACTCCCGGTCACTGGGAAATGGCCAAGCTCGGCGACCGAGGGAAAACCTGGTTTTCCAGATCGTCCAAAGCAGGCGTCCCTAAACTACCGCCGGCGGGCCGCATGCGGCCCCCTGAGGCCATTTATCCGGCCCCCCACCGCACTTCAGGAAGGGGCACCTCTTTCATTGGTGGTCAGTGAGAGGAGCACAGTATGTGGCGGCCCTCCAACGGTCTGAGGGACAGTGAACTGGCCCCCTGTGTAAAAAGTCTGGGGACGCCTGGTCCAAAGGCACGAAGGTACCTTGCTGGATGCAGCTGTGGGAGCCGGGCCCCGGCTGCAGTCCGAGCTCCAGGAATAACCACGGGCAAATGCAGTCCCCGGGCACATCCCAATTCACTCCCCCACTCTCCGGGGGCAGCCGGGGGAACAGCCTTTGCCTCTATTCTAAAAGTGGGGACACCGAGGCTCCATAAGAAGAGCCCCCATGCCCAAGGACACACGCTGGGAGGAGAGAACCAGGACCCGAACACGCCCTTTCCCTGGGGGCCCCCACCTCTGCCCTGCGGCTCCCCAAGGCCCGGAAGAGCCCTTTAGCCTGAGCTGGGACCTGGCGGCTGGCTCGAACACTGGTGCTGGGAGGGCAAGGAGGGGCTGCCTCTCCCAGACCGCCAATGTCTGCCTCTCAACCGGCCCATGGGCACCAGCCATGCCAGCCCTCCCTCATCCATGGCAGTCAGCGGGGATCAAAGCCACCACCTGTCCGGGGCTGGTTAGAGCCTGGCTGGGAGACGCCGGCCACTGCGGGGCTCCTCAGATCAAACTAGGTGGCAGGGCGGGGTCTGAGGGTCAGAGGTCACATTGACAACCACCCCCGGGGCAGGGCCTGCGCGTGCCCAGGGCTCTCTGTGACCACGTCTGCCTCCACGAGGGATGTGCCGCCCTGCTCCACACCTACAAAGCGGGCGGCGGCCTCGGTGAGGTGACACTGCCGTGCGGTCCGAGCCTCCTCTCTGCCCCTGGGAACTTGAGCTGATTTTCTAGCCCCCAGAGAGGAAGGAACCAGCCACAAAGCCTGCGCCCTGGTGAGGTTCAGAGCGCAAAAGCCCTCAGACCAACGATTCCCATGGCCCAGAGGGACCCCAGAGCAACCCCAAGCCCAGGCCCTCCTCCCTCCAGCAGGGAGGACTCAGCAGGCCTGCCGCTACCCTGTGTGCCCTGGGGCCTGAGACTGGCACCCTCACGTGCCTCGCTGGGGGAGAAGCGCCGGGGCACCGGCACGGCCCCCAGTCGGGACTGCATCACTTCTCCCATCATGTGGCCTTTGTCGGGCCGCCGACTCTTGAGTTTCTGCTCATCGCCCACCTCTCTACACCTCCCCTTGCACCACCCCTCTCCAACCTCCCTACCAAGACGCTCTGGCAGGTCCTGGGCCCAGTCCTAATCCTGCCTCCTCCAGGCAGCCCCCCAGCAGCCTCCTCTCAGTTGGACTGAATCTGTCCCTGCTCACGGCTTCATTCAATCCACACGTGCAGGGTGCCTTCTGTGTGCCCGCCGGTGAGGCCTGCTGAGGACACCGGGGTTCAGCTGGGGGCGAGGGTCAAGCCAGTGACCGACCAGTGGTAGACAGCACAGCATCGCCAGGGATGAGGCACAGGGGAGCCCGGGGGCGGCCAGGTGAGTGCAGACGCACCCTGACCCAGGCCTGGAAGAGCCCACGGGCAGGGGCACTGCACACGGGGAGCCACAGGCTGAGCCCGAGTTGCGCGTGCAGGCAGCCACGGCCGACGGGGACCTGGGCGCAGTGTGAACACAGAAGGAGAGGAAACACTAACGCGTCTCCTCCCACGGGGGATTAGAAAGGCTGCCTTCCTGCGTGTCTCCATCCTGGGCTCAGACGCTCCAACACGCAGAGCCGCAAAGCTCTCTGGCCCCACCCTGTCCATTCCCTGCTTGACCTGGTCGCACCACGGCGGGAGGCAGAGCTGAGGCCAGTGCTGAGCCCCAGGCCCCCCTGAGCTCTGCCCAGCAGCCTGAGTTCAGGATGGCACCGGCGGAACTTTCTCCCCAGTGTGGCCTCCTAGAGGTCACTTCAAATGGGTGACACTCCATTTCATAGGGGATGATTTGTTTTTAAACCCTCTATAAAATATTCATTTAGTAAAAGCCTGGCAGGAAACATCACTATTCTACTACATGGTGGTTATTTGGGGTTGGGATAAAGTTGGAGTGACCTTTTTTTTTTTTTTTTTTTTTTTTTTGAGACGGAGTTTCGCTCTTGTTACCCAGGGCTGGAGTGCAATGGCAGCGATCTCGGCTCACCGCAACCTCCGCCTCCTGGGTTGAAGGCAATTCTCCTGCCTCAGCCTCCTGAGTAGCTGGGATTACAGGCACGCGCCACCATGCCCAGCTAACTTTTTGTATTTTTAGTAGAGACGGGGTTTCACCATGCTTGACCGGGATGGTCTCGATCTCTTGACCTCGTGATCCACCCGCCTCGGCCTCCCAAAGTGCTGGGATTACAGGCTTGAGCCACCGCGCCCGGCCTGGAGTGACCTTTTTAAAAGAGAAAAGAAAGCAGGGAGGGGCAGCAAGGCCTGAGACGGAGGGGTCCGTGGGGAGGGGCCCGTTTCCCACAGAGTCTCCAAAGAGAAGCCCGCGCGTGCCCACCCCACACCCCAGGCTCCTTCGGGACAGAGACTGTCTGGTTCACTCCCACACAGCAGTGGTAACCAGCACAGGGTGAGGAGGGACAGAGAGAGGTGGGGAGGAAGACAGAGGGAAGAAGTTCAAGGGTGCCCTGCTTGATGCTCCTGAGCCAGCACACAGTAGGTCTGCAAACGGCACCCTGCAGAAAGAATGTGGGTCCGCCGACTAACCGAATCTCCTAGCAGCCTCACAAAAGCGGCAGCACCGGCCCATTTTACGGCCCGGGAGACGGAGGCTCAGAGGCGAAGATCACTCACTGCGGAGGAAGGGCAGGCCTGGCGCTGGCCCAGGTCTGGTGGATTTCAGGGTCGAAGTGACCCCAGGGCCCGGGCTGCCTCCGCAGGGCCTCAGCAGGCCCTGTTTCTTTAAGGGGACCCCGGTGGGTGGTGTCGTGGGGGCCGGGGCCCGCGGGCTCCTGCTCCTCCTCCCAACATGCAGATGAATCAGCCATGAATCAGGGGGAAGGGAGCGTGCGGTTCCCACTGCCTCTTTCCACAGGAAAGCCGTGGGCCCCGGGGCTGGGAAGCAGACTCTGTTTATTTGGGGGTTTTTGACAGCCTCCACCCCCACCCCATCCTCGAGCCAACGCTCTGAAGTCAACAGTCATACCCAACCAGATTCTGCCATGAGCCCTGTTTTTTTTTCCTCGATAAACTGGAATGTAACGGCCCCGGAAGTTTCAGTCGGGAGGACCCTGACACGGAGCAAAGCAGTCAGGGCTCAAGGCCAGGTGTCCCGTGTCACCTCCCAGGAGAGGAAGGGGCGCAGCAGGGTGGGAGGAGACAAACGGGGCGCCAGGGCTCCAGCTCCAACGGCCCTGCCCGACGGGGCTCCCGGGAGTGCTGGGGGACCGTGGCTGACCCTGAGGGAGGACGACGTGGCGGCTCTGGACAGTCATAACTGCCATGGAACAGATGGCGACACCAAGGCCCAGACACCCCGCAGGGATGCCTTCTGCTGCTTCATGGGTTGTGCACCGTGTAACTCCAGGCCCTTAGCAACAGATCACAGAGTGGCCAGCTTCCCTGGAGTTGTGCAGTGGACAACCTGCCCAACTGTATGCATCAGTCCCTTTAGCACATAATGCGCAGGGCTGGGACTGAGACCCAGTTCTGTTCCTCCATCTGTAAGGTCACTGCCCCTTCTTTTATTGTCCCCTGCAATTAGCAGACCCCTCTGTCACCCAG